GGCTCTGAGGAAGGCGAAGTCGCCGAAACGTCAACCATCGTTCAATAACATCAAAAACAACGACAACGAAGATCTATACCAACCTCGCGTCAGCTTAAGAAGATCAGTTTATAAGATCACATAAATATATTAACGCTAACACTTGATCCAGAAAAACGTCCGAAGAACGTCATATTGGCACCCAAGGATGGGAATGGAAAGAGAAGGATGGGCGGTTGTCTGAGATTAGCAATGATAAAGAATACATATTGATTAGTCACACCGAGGTTTAGGGAAGGTCGGTTTCGAAATATTACTACGCTTTGTGCTAGCTGATAATACACCGACCTCTGCACGATGTGCGCAATGATGTATGTCCGGAAGAAATACAAGTTGTTACCACCGGACATTGTCATTATATATCCACCATCAACATCGTGTATAAAAGGGCATCACTGAATGAGGATGCCTCATTCGAGAAGATGGCTCGCTGAGGAAGATCTGGCTCGACAGGAAGGCGAAGACGCAACGTCGAGGCGAACAACAAGCATGGACCATCGACTCGGATCACCGGCTCTGAGGAAGACGAAGACGTCGAAACGTTAGCCGAAAATAAATATATTTATCAACCTCGTGCAAGCTTATCAAGAAAGAATACATATTGATTAGTCACACCGAGGTTTATGGAAGGTCGGTTTCGAAATAACCAAAACCATTCAACGTAACTCGCAATTCCAGAAACCTCACTCCCAACACCGCATATGGGAGTTTGCCAATGGAGGGTAGAATAACGAAATAGACCACATTACTCTCACGATCGACATTTTATTACCCTCGCCATTGATCAAATAATTGAATATATTGTTGTTGAGCAAACACAATGTGTTATTTTACTCTTTATTCATGAAGAAACTGACGTTTCAGAGGATTTCACCTTCCTCAGAGCTTAGAAACGTCAAGTCGACCGAAATCTACCCAGCTAAACACTTCCATAAACAAACAAAGAAAATGCTAAACCAATATTTCAATCACATCGAACACAGAATAGGTTCCTGCACACTCACCGCTCTCTATGAGTCTACTGAATATGTCACGTGGAGACCAACCGCACAGAGTTCACATGGAAGTATAATTACATCTCACATTATAATAACGGGCTTAGATACTGTCTAATATCACACGTGATTATGGGGCATTCCTTCCTGTGGTACAACTTCGGATTCCTGGAATTAATCCAGAATGCCTCGAGAGTTTTGCGCTTATGTGTTTCCGATTCCTGTGCGAGGATCATAATTTCTACTTCCAAATCCTCCCCATTATGTCTCTCTCTCCTATGTGTGCCTAGTGGAGTGTTTGGTTTTCGTTTACCGACCAGGTGTTCTTTTAAATGGACGCAGAGTCTAGTCGTTTCGCCAATGTATTCGTCCCCACACGCTTTAGAAGAGATCAGATAAACTGCACACGAACTAATGCAATCACCGTCTCTACCGTTAAGGCAAATTACGCAGTTTTCCGTTGTACACAAACGGTCATACAGGGAGCTGCCAAGTAGCTGGTCTCTTAAAGTGCTTTAATTCCTCCTATCGAATTCTCTAGACCCGCCCTTCTTAAGCAACGTGTTATGCCAGCACTTACCTCGTTTCAGATGAAGGGCAGGATAAACGGGACCTTATTATCGCTAGAGCCATCGTTATAGGGTCTTGGGCTTTCCTCTACACCTATGTCGAAAAGCTACAGTTTCATAGTCATTGGAAATGACTATTTGCCGCGTCAGTTTTCGGTACTCTTCCATCTGTTCTCTTCCTGTGTACACTATGGTGGCTCTTCGAAACATGTCTCTCACAAGCGCCTTTTCGTGTAAGAGGAGTCAGAAGAGAGGTTAATGAACCAACATGTTTTTACTACTTGGCTTTCGGTGCAAGAAAAGTTTCTCTAGGAGGCCAGCTAGTTCGCAACAGCATGTGTAACCGTCTGTAGAGACGGTGATTGCATTAGTTCGGGTACAGTTTATCTGATCTCTTGTAGAGCGTGAAGAGACTAATAAATCGGCGAAACGAGTAGACCACTCTGCATCCGTATAAAGGAACGACCAGTCGGTAAACTTAAACCAAATACTCATAGGGCAACGGGGAAGACTTTGAAGTAGAAGTTACGGTTCTCGCACAGGAATCGAAAACACAAGCGCATAAAACTCTCCAGGCGTTAATTCTAGGAATCCGAAAATAGACGGCAGGTAGGAATGCCTCATAATCACACGTGATATTGGACAGTATATAAGCCTGTTATCCTGATGAGATGGGCACACTACGCTTCCATTTGAACAATGCGCTTGGTCTCAATGCGACATATTTAGTGGAGAATTATAGAAAGCGGTGAGTGTGCAAAGAAGCTACTCTGTGTTCAATGTGGCTGAAATCCTGGTTTAGCATTTCTTTCCTTGGTTATAGAAGTGTTGAGTTGAGTGGATTGCCGTCTACTTGACTCTTTCAAGCTCTGAGGATGAAGAAATCCACCGAAACATCGGCTTGTTCGTCAATAAAGAGTAAACACCTCGTGTTTGGTCAACAAGAATAAAAAAAACAACATTGTAGTAAATCGAAAGTTTTGCCTAACCGATATCATTATTGTCCCAAAATTCTACATGGATTAGAGTATTGCCTCCTTCGTGCAAGACTTCACTTATCACGAAAAGGAGAAAATGCCGCTAAATTCCAAAAAACAAAGCTCCCAAGCCACCTTAAACTGGGATTGATTCAGTTTGTTAGTCGGTTTTTGATAAAACCCCGTTCCTAATAAAACCAACGAGAAATCCGATCGACTCATTCAACATCTTCACGTTAGCACTATGAAAGCTGATTCGAAAGTCACCAATAGACGCCTGTCTCTAAAAAAAAACTCCAGCTAATACGCCGGCGTGGAATCGCAAGGGCGACAGGAAACCACCGACTCATGTAAGAACTTGCAAAACAGTGCAGACAGACGATAAAAGATCTTAAAGAAAGAAGAGCAGCAGTTACGTTCGAAGTTGAGGTTGGGAAGAGCACTCGCAAAGCCCATCGAAACTGCGTCCATTAATAAACCAAAATTATTGTATCCCACGCCCAGACGAAACAGTCACAGCTTCCAGAAAAGGAATAGAGGAAACTATTCACGATTGCTATTCGGATTTCTTCAATAATCACGTCTTCCTGACTCATATGAAATAAAGGAGGATAAATATGTTGCTGCTACGGTTCTCGCTTCCGATATCCGATATGCCATTTGGCAATCATCGCTCAGCTTACTTGCTGTCTATCGTCTACTAACCTCTCAATTCGAGTCATCCTAAACAGGAGTGAGAGAACAGTGGACACAGGAAAGCCAAGTTAGCAAGCTGGGTTTCGAAAAGGATTCAGCATAATAGACCGCAACCATTCGATAACAAAACTCATTGAAGTATCGCGATTGTACAACAGACCGCTCTGCCCCACTTTGTTCGATTTAAAGAAAGCTTTTGAATCAGTTGAGATAAAAGCAGTTATGGAAGCCATGGGCAGTCAGGAAATTCGTACTCAGTAGACAAAGATTCTTCGCAAGCTGTATAGAAATCTAACAATAACATGGACCTCAAATGTGGGGTTAGGTAAAGCAATAACATATCGCCAAGATTGTTTGCCGCCACTCTCGAGAACATCGTGGGGTATTGCAATAGGATAATATGGAGAAGAAAATCGATTGTCGGTAGTTACACCATCTTTTTTCATGTGCTGATGACACTGTTATTATAACACCAAACATTAGCCAGGCGGAACGAATGACAGTCGACTTTAATAACGCTTGTGAAAAGATTGGTCTTCGATTAAATCTCACAAAAAAGATGTTCATGAAGAACGGAATGATGTCGTTAGTGAGAGTGAATACTCGAGATGGCAAACGTACCGTAGGAAGACTCGATGGTCAGAGTTTTTCACGAAAACCCTGGAAGAAAGACATGACGCTCAACGAGTCCTTAGAGTGAGGAGAACTCACTGGACCACTTTTGCTCGCGACAGTGGAAAATGGACGATTTAGTGGCGCTCGCTCGAGTCAATCAATGAACAAGAGGATAACAGCCGATAGAAGTTATTAAAAAAGCAAAGAAGGTATCTAAAATAGCATATGCTACCTGCACTAAGTTAAAAGTGCACTAAAGGAAAAAACGCTCATGGTAAAAAAAGAAACGAAAAAGTGAGATGTCTTGAGAAACATACATTCTTGCATTTAACTTCCACTCTTTTCATTCCATGCGAGTTATCCGGCACCCTTACTATGTTTAAGTCGTTATCGATAGATTTTGAAAACGCCGGCCATCCACAACCAGACCAATACTTAGAATCAGAGCTAAACAGTAACTCTAAACCAACCTAATGGAAACATTTACAAAACATATCAAATCTGGTGTAGGCTTTGAAGATATTTAAAAGAGCAGGAGAAGATTTACATGGGTGAACTTACTTAAATAATTCAGCACCACAACAGAGACACATGTAGCGCCCTTTCTCGAAAAATTTATCAAATGCTCCAGAAAAAGCTGGTTCGGTCCCTCAAAAAATTGTAGATATTACTGTAAAAGAAGATCAGATATAAAACACTTCTATTGAGACATATAGAAAAAGTGCAAAAAAACAACAGGTTTCTTTTTTAAAGCACAAGTAAGGAAAATAGTTGAAGCTTCATACTTCCTACACGAGTAAATCATTTGTATTATAGATTAACAACCAAGACCAATTAAGTTATTTAGATGCTTGTACCTAACCATAATGATGCTTAGAAGCTAGTAAAAGACCAGACGGCAGGTGTCTGCGGTGGGGATCGAACCCGTTAGTACCCTTTTTGAGGGGCTAACATGTTCACCAGCACACAATACGGAACCTTCGTTTCGCCTTTCTCTCAGCCATATTTTAACCTATAAGTGCTCATCCATCAACAGGGTTGATCTGGGGAGCACAAATCGTCACTGAACACAGTTAAGCTGAAGCTAAAGAGAAAGGCGAAAAGAAAGACCTGCACGATGTAATGGCAAACACGTTAGCCCCGGAAAGGGTAGTAGCGGATTGGATCCCCACCACAGAGACCTCCAGTGCGGAGTTTGTAAATATCTCAAAATCATTATGGTTGTATTTCACAACGTAGCTGCTATAAGGCACTAAATAAAAAGTGACTACTTAGACTTAATTTATTTTTCACTTAGAATACCAACCTGAATTACGAGCTACTTCATAAGTTTCAGGGGGAAGCACTTTCATCCAATCAGCTTGCGATACCTGCTTAGGATCCGCTACATTCCCAAGTTTCTTCAGTCCAATATCCTCAGGGCCTAAACACCAAGTTCGAGTGTAAAAAGTTCATCTCGGAAGGAAGTATGCCACACATTCTCAACGATTTTGGTGGTACTTTTATTAGCTGTTAACAGACAATCGAGAGAATTCTAGGAAAGCAAAATCCGACTATTCCAATTCCTATAGAGCTATGGAGGACCTTGTCGGTTTTCTACCAACGCCTCTTTGAGCCCCTTTTCTTCATAACAGTAAGCGAAGATTGTTACCAGCAATTACTACATAACGTCAACTTGTATAACCTCAGTACGAAACTCCTCTGACGATACCTACGTCTCCATCTTACAACTTTACATGACGTCATGTTTCTATTGCGCTGGGATAGCCTGACCTAATTAGAGCAAATAATAAACTGCTCGAATAAAATGGAGCACAAGACGGCTTCGACGACTTTTTCGAGTGCTAGTTCATCTAGAGATGCAGTAAAAACATCGCTATGCGCTTAAACTGTCTTTTACCACTCAAAAACCACTCCAAAAGACTTACCAAATTTCCCTGACATAGTTCCCACTATGTTCCCAACGACTGAAAGCGAATTGAAATGAGTGACGAGCAATCGAACTGCACTGCGTGTGAGCATTCGGTGGACCCGATCAACGGATCTAGTAGGTTCCAAAGTTAAAACTAGATCACACGTCCATAGAATATTGATTGGCACTGCAAACAACGATTTCGTAACTAACTTCTTCTACCGACATTACCTTTATATCAGGACGATAACCAAGGAGCCAGGCAAGATAGTGAGTGCCTATAGTACAAAATAGTGAAATAGAAGACTAGAGGTAATGCATTCTTAATATACAATTACTCTTCTGTAACAGGGTTAAGGATGGATAAGGTATTCGACCGATTAAATGCGTACGAATACATTGATCTTGGCGAAGTCAACGACCAAACGTGGAAGAGGTCTGCATTTTCACGTAATTCCAATTTTCCATCCTACTTTACGACAACTTACACTATCATCGATCGGCTATCCAGGCTTATTTCGCTGTCGGATTGGACTTTCATGAAGATTATTGTTCGAGTTTCTCCCCTAAATGTGTTGTTCCTCGTAAATTACTTTGTTTTTAGATTGGTGTCGTTCATTTCCGAAGGTGCGATTGGGAAAGAATACGTGACGTCATTTAGTTTGCTACGGGATCTTTGTAAGGATGACTGAAACAGCGTAAGTTGCAATCTTTTTGGTGGGTATGTCAATCATATGAACACTTTAACATAATTTTAGGAATCTTCGTAATGAGGATTTTCGAAAACTGCTGAACGCACCGAAAAAACCGGTGGCTGAAACGTCTGTGTCGAGCGACACGTCACATTCCTTTACTCATAGACACCAGGCAAAAGCCGATAAGAAGAAGGGTGGAGGTGGTCACAAACACAAAAAGGTAATGTATATCCGGCTTCTTATCCGACTGGGTACAGATGAACTGCAGTTCGAAAACGGGCAATATAACGAAAGAGCTGTGTGGTGAGTGAGGAATTGACACTGCGCATTGATTTCCACTCACCTACGAGATCAATCAACCACATCCAGCCGAGACGAATCCGCTACATCCCACGAATTTTACTACAGAAGTATTTTAGAGCATTAGTGTTTTTTAACGAGAATTCATATGTGTGGATTATCGTTCAGATTCAGATTGTTAAACCTGCAGTGAGTGTTTACGGGATTCTGATTAGGTAAAGTCTGGCATATCTTTTCAAATCTCACAGTCGTTTGATCGCTGATTGGTTGGGGAATTCTCTTGCATGTACTTTTTCAAAAGTTTCAATTCATTTTTTTTTGTAAACAGTTTGGAATTAATATGCTGTCTTAATGAAGGATGGTGTTAATGTCTGTTACAACTTTAATTTAGGAAAGACTTGAACACAATGAAGATGAGGCGACTCTGAAAGAAATTCTCAAAAACTATCGTGATCGAGCACTGGAACGTCGTCTGAAAGGAAATGATGTTGGTTTTTAAAGAATTTTCAAACGTAGTTCACAACGTGGTTTTAGTCACTTTACAGTTTAGATATATGGGTTTTTCTTTTTTTGTCTAAATTTTCATGAAGTCCATTGCCTCTGTTGCTGTGTTAAAAAATGATGAGATTTTCACTAAGAGGGACACGTGTAGCGCACTGCAGTACACATGGTATCGATCCCCATGTCCCAGGGCTACCAAGCCGTCCATCTCTCCGGGGTCGGCAAATTGCTACCAAGCTTGTCTGGAAGCATAGCAGCGCTGGCTCGATACATCGCCAGGCCACCGCGAGCCATTGTAGAGGCCAGATATGCATTCAATCACCTTCAGCGATGCTTAATGAAGTCTGATGCATGGCGCATCTTTTAGGGATAGCGTCGAGAGATTTATCCTTTTCTCATTAATCTCTAGCAGGTTGTTTGCGCTCTGCATTTGTCTTAAGTAGGCTGGTATTTTAGTTCTAAGTTCATATTGAGACTTCATTATTGCCAATGCTAAGCTTTTTTCAGGACAGCGATGAAATAGTAAAACTGGCAGCTGCGTATCGTGCCATGCCTGGAGATGCACGAGCAATTTCAGATAAAGCGAATCTGAGAAGACAGGCAATTGAGGTAGATTTGTTGAAGATTCGTAGCCTACACCGGTTACGTGCGTCGTTAGTTCTGCCGCTTTATATGTGCTTATTCTCTGCCATAAAGGAATCCAAATACCTTGGAGGAGATATGGAGCACACTCACTTGGTAAAGGGTCTCGATTATTCCCTGCTGAACAAGGTTCGAAGTGAAATCAACAAGTCGCAAGCAGAAGCGGACACTGTTGATGAGTTGGAAATTGCTTTTGTGAGTTTTTCATTTGTAACTTTAATAACACCCCATGCTTTAGTCGTATTTTTCTTCCGTTTTTCTTTTACTGCCTGTTTCCGATGCTTTAGTGTTCCATATTAAATTATTAGGTCTTCGTCCTCTACTTAGGAGTGATTTGCACGTGTGTCTGTGTTACTTTCAGGATCAGAAGGGAGTGGATGCTGTTGAAAAAATGTCCGAAAATAAGATGGTTCGTGGTATGCATCGCATTTTGTTTAAAAACGAGCTACCTCTGAGGAACGAATTGTTCGGAAAAGGAAGAATGGCATACGTTGTTGATATGGAAGATGAAGACAGCGATATTCCAACCACATTGCTAAGGTGTTCTTCTTTTAAGATTAATTAAGATTTAAGATTAAGGTTAAGATTTAAGAATTAAGATTTAAGATTAAGATATGCTGTTTCGACCATTTCTTTCCTGTACCATCTGACGTACTGTTTAGTATGTCTCTTATTTCGTTATTTTGCAAGAATGTTACACATTCCTCCTATCGGTTTACTGCCTCATCATGGCTGGAAGGTGTTCCTGGGTGTCCTTTTGCGATGTACAGCGGAGGATTCATCCGCACAACAGGGTGCCCAAGCTGAGAAGAAGTTCGGCGTTTGTATCAGCAAACCCAGCTGGGAGTAAACCAATACCAGGGTCCACCACCGCCCTAGTATCATAGTTGTATCATAACAAATCTCCCTATGATCCGCATGGGTGGCGACTGCCTGTGGTGGGGGACGGCCTGGGGCAGACTTTGACTAGGATGACCCCGGTACTCCAGAGAACCACAATGGCCAAACCAGCAAACCCCCTCCCCTCAAAAAAAATGGAGATTACGCTTGGGTCCGCACAACCAGTGGATGCGGGCTATCCAAGTATCCAAATAGGTATATTACGCATCCCTCTTATAATTAATGTTAATCTGTCACATTAATTCTAGAGGAAAATTTTTGGGGTAAAGTGCAGTCAGCTAGTGTTTAACATATTTGGTACCATGTTTTCAGATCAGTACATGATTGTCCGAAGGCTGAATCAAATGCAAATATCAATGCGAACAACATGCTTATCTCAAAGCTCACTCAGGCTTGCTTTGACTTAGTATCTCTATCTGGGCTTACAAGTGACATAATGAATAGTTGTTCAGGTGTTGTCATACCTCCGTTCTGATCACAAAAAGAAGAAAAAGCCAGATATGACGGAAGAAGAAATTAAGAAGTACCAGTCACAGAACATCTATGATAACGAGACAGAATATGCTCCAAAGAAGGATAAAGAGAGGTAGTTAATGTGTCTAGCGGTATGACTATTTTCTTGTGACCAATTTTGGGTTTATAGAGATCGACGAGATAGGGACAGAGAACAGAAGAAAGATAGGAGCTATTTTGACTCTAAGGACGACCGCTATAAACGAGATGGTGATCGTGATAGGCGGGACAAAGATCGGGATAGGTAAAGGAGTCAATTTCAGTTGTTTTGAGATTTTTGTTACCGTCTTTATCGTTTTCAGGCGTGGCGGACGTGAGTACGACCGACGTGATCGTGACCGTGACAGGGAACGAGAGCGTGAACGTGAACGCGAAAGAGATCGCGATCGTGAGAAAGAGCGTAAAGAAAAAGAGGAAAAAGATAAGGAAAAGCGTCTAGAAGAGAAGATGGAAAAGAGGAGACGAGAAGCTGAAGGCGGAGGGTAATTTTTACTGCATTATGGGAAATCAGTATGGTATTCTTCTGAGAAGTAGTTTAGATATGACGAATGTTATCCGGGTGGAATGGCGGAGATGGGCGGCGGCTGGGATTCAGACGAAGAGGACTTGACAATGATGGACATGGGCGCCAAGAAATCGTCGATCAAACGATGGGAATTTGATAACGATGATGATTACGAGAAGTTCCAGGTTCCTCTAGTGACTTTCATGCCGAGCAGAACATTTATATTATTCGGTATTTTGGTGCTAAATTTCCATTTTGCTTCTGTTACCTTGTAGTTCATTTTAAGGGTGCTCGAGAAGCAATGCCAAAAGCGGCGTATCAGTATGGTGTAAAGACAGGTGACGGACGGAAGACAAGAAAGAGTGCTGACGTTAACAAGAAGATCGACAAAGAGCTGAATCAGATTACTAAGTTGATTGAGAAGCGCAGAAGTGGAATGGAGGAGGAAAGGTGAGGTTTACAAGCGATAAAATGACACAACGGAAACGAGGACTTTAAGATAACATGGTCAGAAACCTTTTTGGTTTTTTGTTAGGATATAATGTATCCCACATTGTTTTTGTTAATCTCACAAAATTAATTTAATTTAAGAGACTACAAGCGCCCAAAATATTGATGGCACAGCGAGTTGAACGCGGTGGTTCGAACTATTCTATGTTGTTTCTGCTCGTCCTTATAACAACGTGCATAAAGTGTATAGTAATAAATCTTTTCCGATCTGAGATATCATCTGTCTATACCGTGCTGCTCATCCTTAGCGTCGTACTTGATGAGACGGAATCATGAGGTTCGCTGTATGCACATATAGTGATTTTGGAGTGAACTAGAGACTTAATCAAAGAGCTGGCAATAGTTATATCGTAACAAGTAATACCAGTTCTTTTATTGACTTGCGTTGCATCCTGCTGTATTCAGCCAACCAAAGCCATTGGAGAACATCACATCATTGAATTCGTGGCCGTTATCTCTATCAGGATGTTGGAAGCTTAACGGCATTCGTTTGTTGTTAATTCTCTTCCAATAAAGTATAATTGGGAACTACACTATTACTTATACCAGTCAATGGTCGTCAAACCGTCGTATTAAACCAGTCGTTAAGAGTTCATTAGTTCTTAGCACACAACTTTCAGAAGGCGCTGGTAGGCGCTTTGCAGTAAACATGGAGTCGAACTCAGCGCCGTAGGGCTACCAAGTCCTCCATCTCTCTAGAGTCGGCAAATTGGTACCAGATTTGTCTCAGTTGATGGCAGTACCCTCCCCACGGTTTACCGCCTCATCATGGCTGGCTGTTCCTGGGTGTCGAGGTATAATCTACAGCGGTGGAATTAATCCCCACGGCAGGATCTTCCAAGATAGGAAGAAGTCCGGCGTTTCCATCAGGAAGACCACCTAATAATAAACCAGTACCAGGATCCACCACTGTCCTGGTATCAAGCTAGTCGCATGGTGGCAAATCTCCCAATAATCCACAAAAGCTGCGACTGCTTGTGGCGACGACATGGGCAGATTTTAACCAGGTTGTTCTCGGGACTCCAAGGAACCACAATAGCTAAACCACCAAATCTCCGAACAGTAGCAAATACGCTTGCGCTTGCACACAGTGAAGGCGGGCCCTCTAAGTGTCAAAGTAAGATAGCCGCACTGGCTCGATACATCGGTTGCCTAGCGCTAGTCATTGTAAAGGTTAGATATGCATTCAATCACGTCCAGGGTGCTTAATGAAGTCGAATGCATGGCGCTTCCCTCAGAGATTGATCAACGACGAGAGCTTTAGCTTTTGTCCTTTTTACACAACTTTCAGGACAATAAATATCTATAACGTTTATTTCCACAAACTCAAGATTTTTCTAATCCATAGGCTAATAGACAATATTTATCTTTAATAACGTGAATTATGTAGCCATTTTGAAACAGTTTACCATTAAATTGGGCAACAAACAGATCAAAATCAAAGAGGATGCTTAAAGTAAATAACAGTGCCAGTTACACAAATATCAGTTGGCTTCTAATCAATGGGGAAGAATAGTTACGGTGCACTCTTAAGGCTCTTAAAAGACGGTTCCACTTGTTGCGAACAAGACAACTTGTAATATGCAAAGTAGAAATACACGTTTATTGGTAGTCGGGGGCACTTCATCCTAGAGACTATTGAATCTCGGCTAAATTCAGGTACGCCTTCTCCAAGCTGACTTGAATACGGAGTCCTGACAGGACTTTGCTAAAGAAAAAATTTACGGTCATCAGAATAAGACAGCGAGTAAGGTACATATTGACTGATCCAGCTGATTTGTGGCATTAAGAATTTATAGCAAGTAGCCATACTCACTTGTTGTACTTCAACATGAATTCTTTCGCTTTTGAGTGCTCTACGAATATCACTGTTACTTGGTCCTCATTGGACTTCCAACATTTCTAAAATAGACTATCTGATGATAGAGAATCCACGAAACATTTTGCTTTGAGAGTGAGAAAATATTAGTTGGTTTACCCTAATCTCTCCCAGATCCTTCGCCAACGTTTCAACACGCAACTTTGCCGTCGTCAGTTGTTTCACATTTTTCACATTTACGCAAAGATAGGCTTTGTTCTTTTTGAGAGCCGTCTCGGCTTCTGTTGAAGGTCTTGACGCTGAATGAGTTAAGGAATTCCCGCCACCTGTTGAAACACCATCGGCTGATCGACGATCTCTTTGCTACAATGAAGACATTAAGTTCCTTATACTGCTCAGATTATGAACAGGGGAATTAGTGAAAACAAACAAAGACAAGCATTTGAAACCCAAGACTTACCTGATTTTGACGACTTCCGTTACGATCATTCGATCGCGTATTTGAAGAAGAGTCATGTGCACTTCCACCAAATCGCCGCTGCTCTTTCCGTCGCAGAACCTCATCCCGTTTCCTCCGCTGATCCTCTAGTTTCGACAGATATTCATTGTCTAGCCCAACCGCCTTGGCACATTCAGCTGAGATCTGAGTCAGAAAAAATACGTCGAAGTTGCAAATCGCTATTACGATCAATAGAAAACGCATTTAACAAATAGAGGACAACATAGTATGAAGTATGATGACTTGTACTAAAGACATTGTTCAAAGGTACACAATAAGGAAATTGTAAACCTTATTGCGATAGAATTTTTGTCCAGAAGACTATTTTAGAAGAACTCTAGTACCTGTTTATGATCCTTGTTATCGCGTCTTGGAACATTATCCCTTCGATTTGGACCACCTCTGCCTCTGAAGTGACCACCTCCTCTCCCACCACGATCTCTCTGCATACGTGGCCGACCGTTGCCACTTCGGTTATCACGCCGGCGGCGAGGTGAACGCGATCGTGAACTAAAATGTATAGCAGATCTTTGGAAAACGAGAATCACTTCGCTACCAGAGATCACCATTTTTTGGCGACATGGTGGACAACGGTATAAAGGCCGAGATTAGAAAACGCAACACCAACTCTCAAAAACTATTTACCGCTACTCTCGAAAATATCACTGGAGAACTGGAATAGGAACACATGACATTGAAAGTCGACAACCGAAAGCCATAGTACTCACTTTGCTGACAACATCGTCCTTCCTAGTACTAGCTAAGCAGAACAAATGTTAGCCGATTATAAGAGCTCGTAGGGAAAAAGCGGTACTCGGATGAAATTTAGGGAAACAGTGGCCATAAGAAAGGAAAAGTTTTAGGGCTCCACTGGTTTTTAGAGGAACGCCAAAATGATTATGCTATTAGATGCTGTTTAAACACTATAAAGGACCAATCATCGTTATCAACTCCACAATCGAGAGGGTACTACCGGGAGAGAAGCTTTCACGACGAAAGTAAGATAAAGAGTACAAAATTCTGCGATAAGTCGGTAATCAGAGCTGAAATGTTGCGAAATATGTCTTCTTGTCAAATACGAACGGATATGCTTGAGTTTTAATGAAAGGGGTTGGATAGGCACCGCTAACGACTAGGTACCGCAGGACGCCAGGATGTCAAGCACATAACAGGAAGCCCATAGAATAGACATGTTAACAAATATTGTAGAACAAAAGAGATGTTGGTCACGTCCACCAAGCAATCAGGTCCTACTTAAAAATTTGGCATCTTAAAACGACAAACGGACTCATCGCTAGTGTATGCTCGAATCACTCGATTATCGTCTGGTCACGTGATATAGATGACCGCTTCACTCAAGTAGAACGTTACTCTAGTTGGACAACCTCACTTAATATTAACTCATAACGGACTCGGGTGTTTAGTTAGGTTGGTTTAGTGAAATACGAAAAATTTCTTGTCGGCTGCTGACCTGTTTTTTGACAGTAAGAAGTAATTTCTATATAGCTAGAGTGCTCTGAGGGTTGTGAACATGACAGATTTGTAGTGGAGACTTTGTCGTTCTAAGAATAAATGGTACGTGTCCTACCATTCATGTTACTATGGCCCATTATGCAAATACATTGCACTTGGAAGCACTTTGCATAGAAGCAAATGTTAGTCCAATTACCGCTCAACGAATTCTTTCGAAAAAAGATTCTTTGTAAACCACTAAGTGAAGAAAATAACTTTTAATGTCTCATGTCTCCTATTTGATCTGCTCTCGATTACCTACCGAATGAATACCTATAATGCGGCAAAAAACTAGAACCCAACCCACTGAACATAAAAGAGACGCCATAATGCCTAAATCCGCCTAAGGGGGAAGGATGCGTGGCCACCATGCGTTATGGAGTAAGCAAACCTCGTTAAGAAAATCAAGGTGCAAAAGGATACTACTTCCATATTGACCACAGGATTGCTACTAGCCTCATAGCTGTAATTTCTTACCATATTATTACTACTACAGTAAAGCTCTACATACCTGCCAGCACTGCGTGATCGACTGCTGTAACTGCTATAACTACTATAAGATGAGCTACGTCGATGTCGTCTTGAACGTGGGCTTCGCTGACGTTGCGATAGTGAACCACTGAGGAATTCTTCAACGGCCTGGTCCCATTGTCCAGCCGGTGCCGGTCGATTAATCAAAGGAGACATGCCGGGCATAATCGGTGGTGGCATTGGTGGGCGATTCGAATGTGACGGTGGTGGTCCAAACCCAGCTGCTCCGTGATTTGAAGGAAGACCTATTTGACGATGAGTAGTTAGCCTAACTCGTACGATAATAAAAAATATATAAATAACCACTTACCAGTTAGAGGAATTCCGTTAGGAAGACGAGGTATAATAGGTCCGGGCTGACCAGGCACAATGGTTGGTAAGATGGATGGTCTTCCAGTTAAGGACGGTATTACACCTGGCGGACCACCTTCAAAAGTAACATAAGTTAACTAACATAAGGGATACAAGTATTTCTAAGCAAGATATGAAGAGAATATACATTAAAGCAACCATACTGACCCATAGGGCTGGGCACCGGTGGACCCATCGGACCACGAAAATTTGGATTGATAAGTATTTTTCCGCCCGACGGAGGTGGAAGGAGAGGGTTCAGTGCAAGAAGTGGCGTTGGTCCGCTCTGATTCATCAACAGACTGGGTGGCCCGGACTGAATATGTGCCTGAACATAAGGGATGTCCCATTGAGGATAAGTGCTAACATAAATAGTATTATATCCTTACATCTCTATTATAGTGCATAGGTCCACCCTTGAAACGATGATTATTTCCACGATTGCGTGCATTTCCTCGTCCACCGGTTTGCCACTGTTTCTGACTCTGATTTCGATTCTCGCCTTGTCGACGACTTTCCACTTTACTGATAAGATTTGTGGTAGCCGACGGTGTCTACATGACAATTCATCAATCTTCATAGAGGAATAGGTATAGTGTGTATGACTAATAGACCATTATTACATAGATAAGTATAGATGAAGTCTCCTGCTCTGACAATGAAACCCATTTTTAAGCAAAGGTTTCTGTCCTTTCTCAACAATCAAGAATAAGAGGTCAGCTAAGCAGTTGACAACTGTAAGTTTCATTGCAGGAGTTTAGTAGCACTACAAAGCAGCCTATTCTATTGAAGAGCAAGCACTCCAATTGTAACGGGTTAAAGCATGTTTAAACACGAAACTAGAATATTGATTAGAAATGAAGCTAAGTAGTAAATGTGCTAATAATCCCTGCAATCTCTGCAACCTCGGTTGTCGTATTTGACCTGAAAATTTAAGTACCACGCATCTCCGATGCGGATCACACCTACCGTGTTTGTTTGTTTTCTTTCAGATGTGAAACGACCAGTACGTTCCTCTTTGTGCTCTTCATCATCGTCTTCGTCATAATCAAGTTCTTCTCTTTCAAAACATTCATCATTACGAGCCGCACTTAAACTAGTATCGGTCACTCCAGTTTCCTAAAGGGAATGCTGATTATTAGCGCTTTCACGAGAACACAATGTTTGCTCTAAATCAATCCGCAATCGCTGGTCGGAAATGTACGGACCACAGTCGACCATATGGCGGACGACAACCCAGAGGAGACCAACACACTGATAACGCATTCTGCCTATTATGATTTCTAGCTGTTATTCACCCACTTCGTACATAATTTGTCGACTTACACCATCAAATGCACTGGTATAATTTTACATTACGAACAAACAATTTTATAGATTGTACCCGAACAATACCCTGCACATCCTGTCCATTTACAAAACCATATTTAACAGAATATTTAAGCAAAAGCATAACACAAGCACTGTACAAGAATACAAATAAACTCTGTCTTCCTCAGAAATAATGGCCTGCAATTAAACGCTTGCGACTTAACGACCGAAATGATCAATAGTACGGAGAGACACTCCTGTTTACTTCGGTCCAGATAAGTTGTTAAGAATAACGCAAGCATAAAGCTTACAAATTCGTAAATATTACACGAATAAGGAAACATATCCCATGACATCCGCAGGATCCCTCAGCATTTGCAAACCATAGGAGACTCACGCTTCCTACACCCAAAATCCATTCCCAATTTGACTACTCCGGAGATTTTCGACGAAATCTTCATCAAAAACACATACGAAGAACAGAACGTCGGTTGGAAACGGCCGCGTCTACCGACAAGGACACTTCTGGATGTCTTAGTACTTCCGTCCGTATATGGTGGACAGAGCAAGTGAAACAAAATTCCAGAAGATACAGCTTGTTCCACTAGAATATGCACTGTAGACACTGTGTGTGTGAGTGAGAGAAAGAGAAAGAAAGAAAGAGAGAATGGGAAAGAAAACTAGTCGCTCAAATCTTCAAACAAAAAAGACCTTGCTATTGAGAATTCAGCAAAGATAACTTCAGTTTTTGAGTTGCTACATCCAAATTCATAAATACAAAAGATACGATACATTAGTAATCTATAGTGGTAGCTTAGAGAAATCAGAAATAAAAAGAGAACAACAAGATGTACTATGGGAAGTTCAGCACCATCTAGTGAATGAAAAATACTTAACATCAAACGAATAGGGTTCAAAGTCTCTAAACCAAAGTGTAGTTATATTTTAACAACAAGAGAACAATAAGAGGCATCACTGTATCACATGAAGCTTTAAAAAATATGTAATATTAGGACCCGCTTTCACCAGAAGACAAAAGGATTTCGGTAAAATGTTCACCCAACTGCTATAAAACTTGTGCTATACAACGCTAACGAAACAAATTAACCTTGTGTAGCTCTCACTACAATTTTAGGATGAAAGTATTGTACAGTCTGGATCAAAACTAAAACATGAAAGGAAAAAAAGATAGAAAGAAAGGAACCTAAACATAGTAGGAAACAGGCGAAGGTGGAATCCTGCTCCATTAAGTACTTCGGCTGAAATATAACAATGGGTAGGAGTAAGCTAGCAACGGTTATACAGCGTCGTTTTTACACTATATAAAGTAGGAAGGAAAAAAACACCAGCAGTGAAAAAAGTGATCAGAAACGGTATAAGAGGTACAAAAAGACTCATGAATGTTAGGTGAGTGTAGCTGCAGAGTGAAGAAACGACTCTTCGTGACGGAAGGACAAACGCTCGCATGGCTTCTAGTTCTCCACCAAACATAGAGCATCTCATCCAAGTCCGACAAACAACGTAAAGACATGACCAACCAGTTTCATAAACTGTGAGCAACATCCGGCATTCTGCCCGTATAATAGAACGGAGATAGCAATAACACTGCTTTCTCACGATTACGAGCAACCAATGGATTCCCCTGGTAACTGTTCCAACCCATTTACATTGTTTTATTCTGCTCAGTGGAAACTACTAAAGCGGCTTTCTTTTTATTCAGAACGAAAACAACAAGCGACCCAAATGCTTCTTGTAAAACCCATAACAACCCCACATAATCCAACCTTATAATGACATTAGGTCAAAATCTGACTAGTTAAAAACACTACGGCACAAGGACCTCCGCTAAAACTGTCAAGAAAAT